CGTTACTGATTGCCTCAGCCTTGGCCAGCGGTCGGTCCACCTTGGAGCTGCTGGCGTTGGCTGTGTCAGACATGGGGGAAGCTTCTGGCAGCTTTTCACAGAAGCCACCCCTATGCCCCCCCCACTACCAAAACCTGGCCACGCAAACCCAATACAAGGCTCTACGCAATCGTTCTAGAAGAGCTTTTAGTAAGTTCTTTTTCTCTGCCTTACCTGGCTGTCTTGTCTTTGCTAGGCAAAACGGTGACATCAAATTTTTAACAAAGGGAGACAATAATGCCGTTGATGACAGAGGGCTGTACAAACGAGGGCAGCACTGGTTGGAGAAAAAGGACGTCGTAGGACGAGCGAGAGGGTGAGTGAAGTTGAAAAAGGTGTGGCTTTTTATGTTTCCCTTCCCTAGTACCATCTGTTAATCCCCTTCTCTTGAACTCTCCCTGCTGGGTTTTTGTGACCTGCATGAAAGCGTTTCAGAAGCTACTATGGAGAGTTAAAAAAACAAGGTAGTTCAGTTCTTCGTTTGGCTTAAGCGAAGGTATCAAGCTGCGAGCTGCATCCTGAGATTTTGATGCTGGATGGACACTGATGCAAAGGCAGCACATGCTCAGGCATGATCAGAATTTTTATCAAAACTATTCTGCAAGGCACAGTCTTTGCAGGCAAGTGAGATCTGGAGAAGGTAGAGGAGGCTAAAACACACTCTGAGGCTGGTTGTCACTCAGCCCCTACTGCCGTGGCTTCCCTGCTTGGGAGGAAAAAGTCCCAAGTGTGTTGACTGTAGCCCTCAGCGTGCTTGAGTGGCTCTTCCTTCGTCCAAGTACCATAACAGTGCTTCTCCTGTATGCACCCTTGAATACTGTTTGTTTTAATAAACCCTTTTTTCTTGTAGGTTTGTGCCCTATATTGGAATAGTGACTATCTTAATGAATGATTATCCAAAATTTAAGGTGAGAGTTCTTTCATTTTCTGCCTGCTTCTCCTGCCCCAGCTAAAATTACTGCATGAGAACTTTACTCACGCGGGCAGAACCCTTTGCCCTGTGTGTTTCCTGCTGTTAATGCATTTCAGATGTGAATGTGCACTCTTGTGTCTTCTCTTCTTTCTCTTCCAGTATGCAGTCCTCTTTTTACTGGGTTTATTTGTGCTGGTCCATCGAGAGTAGCCTCTTGCACTGAAGTACGAGGTGAAGGTGCCATGGATTTTTTTAGATGAACATTTTAAGTAGATGATGGTCTGATGTGCCAGGAGGAAGAAGAAAACATGCATTTCAAAGCTTCTTGCCAGTTTGGGTTTGTTTTGGTTTTTACTCTGTTAAGGGCGAATGTTTGTCACGATATTTCCAATGTTTTGTCACATTTTAGCATTTTTAATGAGTTTTTATATTAAAAATTTAAGGCAAACTGTTCAGTGTTTGTACTTTGAAGCTGAGCTTCCTCTCAAAGTGCCTACAGGACTGTGTCCTCTTAAGTCTGTGCCTCCACTGGGCAAGTGTGACCTCTCCCTCTGCTGACTGAACTGCCAAACGGTGAGCTGTGGAGGTGATGTTTTTTCCAATTCAGAACGGGAATAAAGATTTTGCATCTCGCTCAGTATGAGCCCTGCCACATTCTTCATTATTGCCCTGCTGAGTGCAGCCTCGTTGCCCAGTTTCCCTGGCGAGGTACCTGGGCTCTGCCATTGCAGATTGACTCCTCTAGAGCCCAGTCAACTGACTTGTCCTCTCTTTACAGAGCAATAGCAGCTGCTCCTCCCATTTCTTCTTGGAGATTAAGCTGTCCTGAGCTGTAGATCCATACAGTTATTTCTATGGGTGGTGGGCTGACCTTGGCTGGACACCAGGTGCCCACCAGAGCTGCTCTATCATGCCCCACTGCAGGGGGACAGGAGAGAGAAAATGCAACTAAAGGCTCACAGGTTGAGATAAGGACAGGGAGATCACTCACC